CATAGCCAACCTGATTTATTTTAGGTGATGGGTTGAGAATGGAATAAATTTCAGCAGATCCCTGTATCTAAATACTCAGTGGCTATAAGGGGAACTCTGGGAGAATGTCTCAGATTGGTGAATCTCAGCCTGGATGCCCCTGGTTAGCCAGCAAGGCAGGTATTATGTTGGCAAGCACATACGATGTTTGTTCCTTTGTATTGGCTGATGAGTGTCTCCAGAAGGAAAGGATGAGAGGTGGCTGGGCTGCAAATGAGTGGGCTCATAGCAAAGATTCTTGGTAAAAGATGAGTGAAATATTGAATATGCAAATCTTGGGGAGTTCTCACTGCAGTACTGTTGTGGTTTAACCCCACACAGCTGCTTGCTTGCTCCCCTCTGGTGGGATGGGGAAAAAGAACAGAAGGGTAAAAGTGAGAAAACCCGTGAGTAAAGATAAGGACAGTTCAATAAGTAAAGCAAAATAAGGAATTCATTCACCTCTTCCCATCAACAGGCAGGTACTCAGCCTTTTCCAGGACAGCTCCATCACACATAATGGTGACTTGAGAAGACAAATGCCATCACTCTGAATGTCCCCCCCTTTCTTCATCCCCCAGGCTTATATGCTGACCACAATTTCATACAGTATGGAATATCGCTTGGGTAAGCTGAGGTCAGTTGTCCCAGCTGTGTCCCCTCACAACTTCTTATGCACCCTCAGCCTCCTCACTGGTGGGACAGTGTGAGAAGCCCAAAGTGCTTTGACCCTGTGTAAACACTGCTCAGCAATAAAGAAAAACATCTCTATTATCAACACTGTTTGCAGCACAAACCCAAAGCACAGACCCATAGTAAGGACTGTAAAGAAAATTAACTGTATCCCAGCCAAAACCAGCGCAAATGCTCGCTTAGATGAAGCGCTTCCAGCACCTCTTACCTATTTTTTCATGGTCCTGAACAGCAGGAGCAGAGAATACAGAGTAGATTGTGTTGATCATCCCGAACTGGGCCATATCCTGAGTGCACATGTATGCTCCTGGATGTTCAGTAGGGCACAAGGTTTCTGTGGCCTTTGAAAAATAGAGGACCTATAGATATATATGAAAATAGCCTTATTCAGTCAGTCTGTCCTAACAGGCTATCCCTAGGAGCTGCCAGTTTAGGATGTTTAGAGAAAGAGACAGCTCTTATAGTTACCACCTTCCAGCTTTTGGTGATCAGCAGTTTCAGACCTTCCTGCATCAGAAATGTGCAGCCAGGCTACAGTGTTTAACAGCTACAGATGGGTTTGTCCATTAATAATTTGTCTATTCCTATTCTGAATTCAGTGATGTGATTTGCTTACATGCGTCATCCTGCTTCTTTTAGACCTTGTTCTCTTCATCACGTGTCTCAAATACTGCAAAATGGTGACTAAGTAGCCCCTTTTTTTCTGCACCACCCAGTAGCTTACAGACACCTACCATACCAGTACCTATCCCTCTCCCAACCCCTGGGATCGAAATTCACTCCAAAGCAGTGGCTGCTTCACTGGAAGGAGCTCCCACCTGTTACGCACCCCTGCAGCTCATACCTCAGCTCTTCTGAAAATCTGAAGCCACTCATTTTGCTGCCTAGGGATATTCAGATTCCAAAAAGTTGGCACACAAAACTGCTAATGATTTTAGCAAGGCCATCCCACAGTAGTTTTGGATCAGGTGTTGAGATGGGTTGTCAAAGTTTTGCCAAGCCAGATCCAAATATGTTTAATAACATGAGTGCATCTGTGTTGCAAATAAAATGTTCCTCTGGGTTTTTTTTAACCTCTGACCAGCCAGGATGCAAAGACGAGTAGGGCAGCATTGTCTTAAGATCCGAAGATCTAGAGCAAGAAAATCAGATGCAAGGAAAAAGTGATATCGAACAGTTAAAAGTACTCCAGCAGCTGACAGGTCCAAAGCTGCTCTATATGGTTTCCAGCTCTGAGCGTCTGCCCTGTCCTACCTATTATCCCTTGAACCCAAGGCTGAGTCATTTCAGGCAGCAGCATACCACTGGATTCTCTGTCCCTGGAGAGCTTTCAGCCTGGCTGACACACTGAAGTGTCTCAGCAAGGGGTTTGACAAGGGATGGAAAGTGGGGACAGGAGGGGACGGCAAGTTCAGACACACCAGCTATCAGCCCAGTTTCACTTAGATGTTTGATGTGAGTTATTCAGCAGCAAAGGAGCAGCATTGCCAGACTGGGTAGTTTTCCTACAGATCTCTTTAGAATAAGTGTCTCCTTCAAGTCACAGGATTTAATGAAATTCTCTATCCTTACTCATATGTAAGTTTACATACACGTTTTGGCCTCCTTGACCAAGCTGAAACACAGAAAGACCAGTCCTAAATATATCTCTTCGCATTTAAACCAATTTTGGAGGAGGAGAGAGAATGGGGAGTTGGGGTTTTTTTAAGGGTCTGGCAGATTTTGGAAATTTAAGATCAGTAGCCAGGGCTCAGGAAAGCTGAAAATCTGGGCTGAGTTCAGAGCTCTGCCCCAGCCATTCTGCCCAGCTCTGGGCACAGAGCTCAGTGACTTCTCTCCCTTTCTGGGAAGTAATTTTTTTTTTTTTTTTTCTGTGCCTGGTCTGGAGACCATATATCCCTCTGGCTGGGAGCTGTCCTACTCTGAGGGTGATGCCAAAGGAGCCTGAGGACTCAGCATGCAAGGGATGAATCATTTGAAACACCTGAGGTCAAATTCTGCTCTGCCATCATAAATCCAGACTAACCCCTCTAGCTTTGGTGGAATCACTCAGGGTTTGTGCAGACATAAATGACAGCAGGATTTGACCCAGAGGTTTTATGTTTCCAATGAAAGAGTTGAAATGCAGGATGTTGCCTTAAATGCGAACAGGCCAAACATCTGGAAAAAGGATGGCTTTGTTTTGCATTAACATTAACGCAGTTTTGAAACCAACTCCCACTTCTGAAGGATTCTTAGCGTGGATTTTTTCCAAGGACATGAAAAACTAACTTCTGTTTTACTCAGAATTCCCTTATCAGATCTAGCTATCCATCTGCATATCCATTACCACACCAGCTGCTCAAACATCCACCGTTCCTCTCCATAGGAGCACACTGGGAAACTGAATCTGAGTTCTAAGCTGGAGTTCATTAACCCCCATTATGTTATTTGTAGTAAGTCTTGCTCGAGAACTGATTGGCTTTCAGGTGATTTATCATACTCGCTTTCCAAAAATTAATTAACTTAAATCAAATGAAGGAACTTTAATTCTGAATAGCCCTGCTTTTGGGGAGGATGATGAAATATAACCCCCCTTCCGTCTGTCCTTCGGAGGGATTGAAACGAGCAACCACCTCCATGGGGGGTTTCTGCAACCTGTCAACAGGTTTTCTTCTCATCTGCAGATCACCACCAGCTTCACAACGTTCTGTATTCTTTCCTCTGTCTGCCTGTACGATGCATTACGTTTTTTAGGGTCTGCTCCATCCATCAGGATGTGGAGCACTACCCTTGGTTTTGCATTACAGATTTACAGTGGCCAGTCTCACCAGCACAGTCAGTATAAGTTTAAAAAAAGAAAAAAGAAAAAAAAAATGTTGCTTTCTATAAAACAGTACAGCAGCCCTTCTTGTTTACATTACGTTTTCACAAATGAGTGAGTGCCAAGTTCTGTACAAATTCAGAGAGAGGCAGCATCTGCTTTCATTGCATTTATAGTCCAATTAATCAAGACAGACAAATATTAGGGAATCAGAGGGAATGAGAAAAGTAGTGATTTATCCCAATTTACTGCATCATTTAATTTTGAGGCTAGGGCTGTGGATGTTGATCCATAATTCGGGAGCCCTATAAGGCGTTACACGTGTGTCTTCTGTGCTTTAAACCAGCTTCTGGGTGATCTTGTGGAGGAGGATCCCTCCCAGTCCTGACCTCCTAGAGACTCTTCTGCCATGACTGGCAGAGTATCAAGGATCGACCCAGACCTCAAAGCTTTCACACAGGTGGTCAGATCCTGCAGGTCAGAGTCTGCAAGGGAGGTTTGTCAGTAGATGGACATAGTCCACAACTTTCCTTACCCCCTTCTATGCTACAAATCACAAAGCAGCTACTGGGTACAATCTGCATCACCCATTCAAATCTAGGGCAGAAAATGTATGTAGGAAAAGGTTAACTATACTGTTCTTCTAGGGGGAAAAAGCAATAAAGAACAAAGACAGTATCATCCCAGTGTAGCTGGGACTGACCTGAGAGAAAGTTCTTTGTAACCCCAGACTTTATCTGGCAGTGGGACTGGTCCTGGATGTCTGAGCAGGACACACAAGCTAAATACCCAAGAGGCACAGCAGAAAATTAAAGCAGCTGCATTGCATTAGACCAAAGCTCTGTACACTATAACAACCAAATCATTCGTGAAACAAGCCTTCCCCACGGTTGTGCTCTCAGCTCCCTGAGGCCAACCCATGCCTGACAGGAACATGCCACCTTCATGAAGCGAGACTTTTTTCACGACCAGCAATTGCCTTTGAGGGTTGAGTATCAGCAAGCAGCAAACAGGAGGGTAAAACAGGCTCTGAGTAAAGCACCCTCCCTGTCCCCCTCTTCTTGTCTCTTGACCTCTGTGGGCCTTACAGGAGGAGAAATCTAATCAGCCCAGGATGATGCTGACAGACTCTTTTCCCTTGGTACAATATTATTTACTAAGAATTTTAATGCTTGGGTCCATCCCTGCAAGCCAGGGCACACCACACCACAAATTTCTACCTTACTCGGTGTGTGCACGTGTATATTTTGAACAACTGCAGCATGCGCCTCCTTTGACATGTATGCAGATGATTCCACGTGGCATCTTGTAAGAGGTGGGACACTAATCGTTGAGCAAACTGAGATATGCAAGCAAGACTAGTGGAGGAAACCGCTGATGCAAAGGGGATTTTGCATTCAGATCACCTGCGTTATCTGGGAAGTTTGTGTCCTGCTGCTCTTCTTTGCATGCTTAAGTTTAACCTCGGTTCTCCCCATTGCTGCAGGTGGATGCTGATGATGTCATCACCAAAGAGGAGCAGATCTTCCTACTGCTAAAAGCCAAGGCTAAGTGCGAACGACACCTGAAAGCCAAGGTGCCCAAGGTGCATGGTGAGTGTTCCCACAGCAACCCAGCCTGCATGGCTGGGGCTGGGTCCCTCTGGTCAACTCCAGCCCTTCCCCTCAACCCCATGCACAGAGCTCAGAACGTGTGAGGGAGGCAGCTGAAGGAGGCCCAACATATTGGGTTTTCAGGTTAAGCTGTGGGGAAGATCTTTCATCACAAGGTGTTGGAAAGCAAAGTTGTCACAGCTTCTTTCTCTCCTGCTCCAGAACTCCAGATGCCAAGGGGTCAAGGGGGGTGCAAGAGTCATGGTCATGGGCTTACAGACATTATCACTAAAAAGTCCAGACAATGCGCAGGAGATATGAATAATATCAGGCAAAGCATCAGTTCTCCTAAGATCCTTTGCAACAAGACACCAGGGTATAGGAAACAAAACATCCTTCCACCTTCTCTCTTTCTCTCTGACATTCACTCTATTCTATTCAAATGGGTCCAAGCTCAGCTAAGCATGTTTCTAAAACTTCCTTTCTATTTTGGGCTGCAAAATCACTACCAGACATAGGGCTGGAGGAAGAAGGAAAGAAGCAAGCTCTCTTATGTGGGCAGCAAAGTAATCATCCCCCATTGGTTTCTTTCATCATTTTCACATGTGTTAATTACTGGTGCTGCGGCTGCATGCTGAGGCAGCCTGCACCCATCCAGCTAGTCCTGGGTGGGCATCCTGTCCCATGTCCCTCTATTGCCTGAGAGAAGGGGACAAGACAGAATGCCTCCCACCTTCTCCGCTGCATCTCAGAGATCTCTCTTCCCACAGCCATCGCTGTGGGAGTACCTGGAGACATCACCAGCAGAGGGAAAGGTCCTCGAATCCAGCTGTGATTTTAGAGCAGAGTTGCTCACCTGGTGTCCTTCTCCTTTTGGAAATGACAGCAAGGAGCCGTAAAAGCCCAGCTTTCATTTTGTTTAGGCCTCTGGCTTTACATCAGCCAAAACCTCAAGCCACATCCTCTGTTGCTTCTTTTTCCTGTTCACCCAATGTCCAATTAACACTTCATTAAAAAACATGTGTGCAAAGTCATTTCCTTCTGTTGTACTAGAGACCACCTGCCTACCTTGGAATCTGGTGATATCACCAGCTGATCTTGCTTTCACATCCTATTTTCTAACTCCGTGAGACTGTCAGCATTTAGTATTGATCTCCCTCCTTAATTGTCAGCAACAGTGTTGGTAGGGCTGGGGAGATGCAGATGACTGACAAGCAGACTTCAGGCTCCATCCTCTAAAGTAAATCTCTGTCCAATCCCAAATAGTACAGCCAAGAGGAGGAATCATCACAATGTCAATACTCGCAGCAGTATATTCAAGGCTTTAAAGACTCGAGGCAATAATGAGCAATAGGTAGTTCAATCAAATTAATCTGCAAGAGGTTCAATAATCCAAAGGCAGAGTGAATTCTGATTTAGCCTTCCCCAAGAAACATTTTCTTAAGATGTTGTGGAGGAACCTCCAGTGGCGGTGCCTCCATAACACCCTAGGAATTCACTCTAGCCCTTCACAAACAAGGCAGGGAGTTGCCAGACTATCTCTGAGATGGTCTAGTGAGTCCATGACTGCAGACAGAGGGTTTTGCAATTTGTAAAAGATTTTTCTGCTTCGCAGAAGAGCTGCCATCAACAGATTTTAGACTACTGATGCCCATGGACACACGAAATGATAATGTTATGGGGTATTTGTGAACAGACTAACTCGATCTCCATTTTGCAGTGTGTCTGCTCCTTCATGCTGCAGGAGGCAAAGGAGATGGGTAGTTTTAGATCCTCTTATGGAGCGAGGAGTGACAGAACAAAAGGCTGTCATCTTCACTGTTAGCTTTAATGCAATTAATTGCTTAGCTAAGCCTCAGAAACTCAGTTTTTGCACAAAAGCTTCAGAGCCTAGGGTGAAAAGTGGTTAGGTCCAGTTCTTTCCTCCTTTGATGATACGGGAACTGGCACCTGGTTTCTATTTGTGCTAATCACCCAAAGACATATGGGTCTGTGCCCTTCTCAGCCAGATGGAGTGCCTCATCCCATTGCCTCTTCTGTCACTGCTGACCCAAAAGAAAGTCTGGAAAGGACAATATGGTCTTTACAATTATGATACACCAGCCCTCCCACTTGTAGAGAATATTTATAGGGGCGAAGTGATTGTGGCTTGGAGCAATATCAATCCTGGGTGACCATGCCAAGCCTTCAGGCAGTCTCCTGTGATAGAACTCAGAGTATTTCTGAGGAGCACCCATTTGGGTGGCAGGAGGACTCTGCTAACTGCCGTGAAGGACTTGGGTTGTGTAACCACTCTGCCAGCTCCACTATCTATCCTGTCTTTGGATTTTTAGTGGTGTAGGACAGACTTATCCCTCATGATGCATTTGTATTTTGGCTCTACTAGACCTAGCCCTTCCTGTAAGGAAATCAAGTGCCTCTGCAGGCAGGCAGAGAGCTGTGCCCAGGTCTGTTTGACCCTCTGATAATAATGGCAGCCCATGGCATTGATGTGCCACTCTATCTATACCAAGTCTACCTGCTGGCAATGTGGACTAATGGTCCCCATGCCAGATGCACAGAGGACCTCGTCTCTTTACAAGATCTCCCCTGTGGCCGCCAGCCACGCTCCTTCCTGTATTGACAGTTCCCAGTGCCTTCTGAGTCCTGGAGACTCAACCTGTGCCCCTGGATTTTATTTTTCTTTCAGCAGTGTGATGAAAATGTCCCACTCCAAAGGCTGCTTCTGTCAGTGTAGAAGAGACGTATTTTATATTGGAGGTGGGGCAAGCCCTGCTGAGAAACGTATTTGCAGATCACAGGGAGCAGTGCACTCCTTGGCTTGAAAGGATTTATTGGCCTGGCTGGTATTCAAAGGGCAAAAGTCATAGTCTAGCCCCTTTAAAATATGAAAAAACCCACAACAAACAAACGTACAAAAAAACACCAAAAAAAACCCAAAAACCAAGCCAAGAAGAAAACAAAACAAAAAACACCCAACAACAATGAAAGTGACCAAAAAAAGACACAAATCAGCCCAGTCTCAAGGTACACAATGCAAGAAGCAACACACACTCCTGGTTCAATTTTCCTGTGTTACATTTAGTTTCTGGAAGTCTTCTAAATGGGAGAAACTATCCCTGTGTTGTTGGTAAATGGCCATAAGTCATGCATGAAACCCTGACAAGTTTGCACAATCTGCCAGCTCTGTCCGTAATAACGCAGAGCTACTCCATGGCATCCTGGAGGACTTCAAGGTCAAACAATCTGCCTTGCAAAAGGGGGTAAGGGAGTAGGGTTTCACCTGATGTGACAGTGGCACAGTGAACTTCAGGTGCAGATGTCACCCATAAAGCAGAAGTCATGGTTATTGGGGCCATTATGAATTTGAGCCAAGGTTGTCACTGTGCTGGTGATTGTCATGTGCAGCAGAGGCAGATTAATGATGCCCTTGAACATCTGAGCTCCTTCTAGAGTTGATAAACAGAGAAGAGCACCTTGGGGGGGGGGGGGGG